GAAAAGCACACATTTTTCTCTGATGTGGAATATGGCCAACACAGAGCACTTCAGGGAGTGTCTCAGAGATAATGCTAACATCTGTACAACCAGAGATGAGAAGAGAGAAAGATGAAACCTTTTTCATTGGCATTAGGAAGAAAACAGACTTTTCTTCTGCTTCCCTAAAAAGTACCATGATACATCCCTGTCTTACCACTATTGCAACAGTGACAGCTGCTGAGTAAGAGTCAAAATATTTCCAAATGACATATAGCAATCTAATTTTGAACTTTAGGTTTTTACTCCTTTGCTGTGATGTATACATTTCTGTTTCTCTATGCAAACACTGCAAGACTGCCTTGGGAGGAAAAAAAACAATTTTTGCTTTTTTATAAAATGAGTCTAAAGTCAGATTTTGCCATTTTTGTTTTGCCTGCATCTTTTATTTGCAGTGTTCACATAGGACAAACTCTGATTCGCTTAGATTTCTTTAGATTAATTCAATATGAATACAAATTTTGGGCCCTTAAAATTAGTTTATTCTTTTCAATCAGATACTAATAAAGGTCCAGATCCTGCTCCCTGTGATTTCAACAGGATCATGTGTGTATGCTCTGTATATGGATATAAAGTGTAAATTTGGGGGAAATTATTTAATCGCATGATGATTTTGTACCAGTCTTTAATTTATACATATTTCTCTTAATTTCAGAAATCTTTGATTTTACATATTAATACTTGGTTTTGTTATGAATGTGTCACACAACTACAATATTCAGAAGAAGAGATCGTTTTGACTCTTCAGTTTTAATTATATGAATAGAACCATTTTGAGAAGTAAATGTAACGAGGATAGCTTCTGTAGTTAGTAATACTGGAATTCTTTCTTATGCTTTGGAAAAGAAAAAAAAAGCCTACAGCAAGAAACATACTCTGGCACCACGAAAGAATTCCTTTATCAGGGCCAGATACAGCAAGTCCTTACTCTTGTTAGTAAAAATACTGATTTCAGTGGTACTATTCACATGAGTAAGGGCTACTTGCTTAGGCCCCAATTCAGGAAAGCACTTGAGTAGATCCTTAACTATAAATATGGCCCTACCAAATTCACGGCCATGAAAAACGCATCACAGACCTGGTCTCCCTTGTGAAATCTGGTCTTTTGTGTACTTTTATCCTATACTATACAGATTTCACTGGGGAAACCAGTGTTTCTCAAACTGGGGCTCCCAGTCGAAAAGGGGGTTGTGGGGACATCACAAAATTATTGTGTTGGGAGGGGGGTCACGGTATTGCCACCTTTACTTCTGCACTGCCTTCAGATCTGGGTGGCTGGAGAGCAGCAGCTGCTGGCTGGGCGGCAAGCTCTGAAGACAATGCCCCACCAGCAGCAGCGCAGAAGTAGGCGTGGCAATACCATACCATGCCATGCTTACTTCTGTGCTGCTGCCTTCAGATCTGGGTGGCCAGAGAGTGGTAGCTCCTGGCTGAGGGCCCAGCTCTGAAGGCAACAGCACAGAAATAAGGGTGGAAATACCATACCATGCCATCCTTACTTCTGCGCTGGCAGAAGCTCTGGCCACCCAACTCTGAAGGCTCTGAAGGCAGCGCCACCAGCAGCAGCAGTGCAGAATACCGCAATCCACCTACAATATCTTTGCAACCCTCCCACAACCCCATTTTGGGTCGGGACCCCTACAGTTATTGGGGAGGGATAGCTCAGTGGTTTGAGCATTGGCCTGCTAAACCCAGAGTTGTGAGTTCAATCGTTGAGGGAGCCACTTAGGGATCTGGGGCAAAATCAGTACTTGGTCCTGCTAGTGAAGGCAGGGGGCTGGACTCAATGACCTTTCAGGGTCCATTCTAGCCCTACTCATATTTATTTTATTTTATTTAGTTAGTTACAACACCATGAAATTTCAGATTTAAATATCTGAATTGTGAATAGGTGAATTGTTATTCGACTTCTGTGCTAGTCATGGATTGTCCATAACAAATAACACTGTCGGAGAAAAAGAGAGTTCTCACTCTCAGGTTGGGTGCAGCAAGTCAGATACTTTATTATCTCTAGCAGTTGCACGGAGGGAGAGAGCTAAACAGGTCTCTCTGCAGGTAATCACAGCAAGCATTTATACCTTTGTTGCATACTATAATGAGCAACAGCTGCATTTTTTTTATACATAGGTCATCCTGATATCTTATTTTTCTCACCTCTATTTAGACTATAGTCTACATTCCATACTTATCTAACACAAGGTCACAACAACTTCTCATACAGTTCTTTCCCACTCGCCTCACACAATCCTCGCTTCTACAAATCTTGCGTTATTAGGGTTACAGCTAGTCTGACTCTTGCTCACATAAGGGGACTGTTTGACTATGAAATCCCCTTCAAATCCCTGTCAGTTCTTTCTCTACTTCCACCATGTTCGAACACCAGGTTGTTCATAAATGTACTTGGTACCAGAACACCTTAGCCAAAGATCGATGATCAACTTTACAGTCGTCTTGTCAGACCTAAGGCCATATGTTCTATACACTCTGGTGAAGAGAGTGACAGAGCTGGTAACTGATGACCACTTGGTGGTGAGTTGGATCTGATGCATGAGATGCTGACCAGATAGACACAGGAGGCCCAAATGATCAGTGCATGTTGCCTAGGAATGCCTCATGGAGGACCCTGTGCAGAAAGACTTCAATTCCCACCTCCAGAAGAACTTCTCCTGCATTCTGGGTGAGGTCTTGAACATTGATTCTGAGTGGACCATGTTCAGGGCCATGGAAAGCTGTGGCCTGAAGGGTAGTTGGCATCTGTCATGGTGGCAACCCTGGGACCCGCTGGTGGACTCCAGTGGTGAGGGAAGCTGTCAAGTCAAAGAAGGAAGCCTTCCGAGCAATGCTCGCGAACTGGACTCCTGATACAGTTGAGAGGTACCGGCTGCGGCTGTGGTGGTTGTTGAAGTCCAGGCTTGGAAGGAGTTTGGAGATACCATGAAGAATGATTTCCAGAAGGCCGCAAAGGTGTTCTGGCAAACCATTTGTCACCTTAGGAGGGGTTGGTCGTATGTTGCCCAGGCTGTACTCAGCAAGGGTGGTGAAATGCTGACCTTGACTGAGAAAATCATAGAGAGGTGGAAGGAGCACTTTGGGGAACTCCTCAACCCAATGTACACCCTCCCCCCGCCCTTCCAGGATGCAGCACTGGAAACCTCCAGTGAGATCGGATCTATGTGCCTTCGTAGTGGTAATGCGGCAGAGGTTTGCCCGGAGATGTTGAAAGCACTGGACAATGTTAGGGTGTCATGGTTAATGTGCCTCTTCAATGTTGTGTGGAAGACAGGTGTCGTACCTCTGGACCGGTAAACCAGGGTGGTGGTCCTTATCTTTAAGAAAGGAGACCAGAGAGAGTGTTCCAACTATAGGGGGATCACACTCCTCAGCCTCCCCAGAAAAGCCTATGCCAAGGTGCTGGAGAGGAGGTTACACCCGTTAGTTGAACCTCAGATTCAGGAGGAACAATGAAGATTCCTTCCTGGCCATGGAACAATGAACCAGCTCTTCGTTTTCTCACAGATACTCGTGGGCTCGTGGGAGCTTGCTAATCTGGTCTACCTTTGCATTGTAGACCTGGATAAGGCATATGACCGCATTCCCCGAGATGTCTTGGGGGAAGTGCTGTGGGATTATGAGGTGCCAGTACCACCTTTTCATGCTATCTGGTCCCTCTGTTCTCAGAATGAGAGTTGCATTCGCATTCTTGGCATTAAGTTGAGTTCGTTCAAGATGGGCGTTGGACTCTGCCAAGGATGCGTCTTGTCCCCACTCCTGTTCATAGTTTTCATGGACAGGATATCAATGTGCAGCCGAGCTGTGGAGTGCATTTGGTACGGGGACTCGGAAGTGAAATCTGCGCTGTTTGCATATGATGTTGTCCTTCTTGCTTCTTCAGACTGTGATCTCTGATGCGCACTCGAACGTTTTGCTGCGGAGTGTGAAGTGGGTGGGATAAGAATTGGTACCTCCAGTTCAGAGGTCATGGTCCTCACCCAGAAGAAAGTGGACTGCTCTCTTCAGGTGAGGGGGGAGCAGCTGCCCTTAGTGGACGAGTCCAAGTATCTAGGGATCTTGTTCATGAGTGATGGCAAGCGGGAGTGTGAGATCGATCAGTGGATTGGTGCAGTGGTGGCAGTGATGTGGGCGCTGTACTGATCCATGGTGGTGAAGTGCGAGCTGAGTTCTTGGACGAAGCTCTTGGTTTACAAGTCGCACTACGTCCCCATCCTCACCTATGGTAATGAACTTTGGGTAATGACCGAAAGGACAAGGTTGCGGGTACAAGCAGCGGGAATGAGGTTTCTCCACAGGGTGGCTGTGCTTACTCTTTGAGACAGGGTGAGGAGCTTGGCTATTCAGGAGAGTGTTGGTGTACATCTGCTACTGCTCCAGATCGAGAGGTGCCAGCTGAGGTGGTTTGGGCATCTGATAAGGATGCCCCCTGGGAGGCTTCCGTTGGATCTATACTGGGCACGTCCCACTGGGAGGAGGCCGCGAGGCCAACCCAGGACACACTGGAGGGATTATAACTCCTGACTAGCCTGGGAACAATGGGGAATCCCCCAGGAAGAACTGGAACCTGTTGCGGAGGACAAGGAGGTCTGGTCCTCCCTACTCTCCATGCTGCCACTGTGACCCTCACCAGGAAAAGCAGCAAAAGAAATATCTGAAATCATTAAATTTATGATTTTTAAAATCCTATGACTGTGAAATTGACCAAAATGGACCATGAATTTGGTAGGGCCCTAACTATAAACCCATGCTTAAGTCCCATTGAAATCAAGTGCTTACATGTTTTCCTGAATAGAGATGGATTTAAACATGTACCGAAGAGCTTCCCTGAACTGAGGCCTTATAGGTTTGCAGGGGTGGCCCACAGGATAGCAATTCGAGTTTTCAGATGTACGTTTATTGAAAGGTAATTCATTCTTTCCCCAAATATGCAATTAAACATCTTTACTTACACAACAGAACACTTTTGCTGCCATTTGCTCATCAAACTGGCCAAGGATTATCCGAACATCATTACCCTGTGGACAAAATAATGTATATCTAAGTTTAATGCAGTCACAGGCCTGGAATAAACTATATTTAAAATCACTTCTTCTAAGGGCCCAATTTTGTCGCACTTACTCAGACTGAGGAATATTGTACTTTTTGAGTAGGCCCTTTGAAATCACTGTGAGAACTTGCAGAGTAAGGTAGAACATAACAGGTAAGATCCTCAGCTGCTGGTAAAAGCAATTTTGGAGTGATGCTAATTCACACCAGCTGAAGATCTGGCTCATTATGAATAAAGGTGGCAGAACTGCATTTCAAACAAATAATTGAGAAATAACAATATTGAGAAGACAATAGTAATACTTATTTTGTGTAGCTACATATTACTATTCAGTAATACTAAGAAACAGCACAGATCAAAAGGATATTTGATTTGCTTTGTCTTCATTTTGCACTTAAAAAGCAATTGCAAATATCCATGGATATATATTTTACAGTACACTGTCAATGATTTCACCTTATCCGTCAACATAGACGATGGACATTTGTAAATGAGATAACACACATTCACCAACTTTGATAGCTCCTAGACATTGTATTCATATCACTACTCTTTCCATAGACAGTAGAATACATCAATGCTAAAACTGGTAAAAAACTGCTTTGAGAATCCACAATTGAATTAAATAGTCAATGGAGGTCATTTTGCCTTCATGCCCAGAATATGTTAATGAAATTTTCAGATGACTTCAGAAACTGGAGCTAACTTTCTGTTGATGTGTGAAAAAAATAGTACAGACAAACATTAAACACAGAGCAGTCCATTACAACTCTCTATAACTTAATACTTAATTTCACACAACAGCTGGATGATCGGACAGGGGTTGAACAAGGTTTTTTTTTATGGGTATTATAAAATGGTTTGTTAGCTTGCTAATTCCACTTCTTTTTGCGAAGCAAAATATCAAGCTATTCAATTTGAGTTTACATGGTGGAAAACATTTCATTTATAATTATTTTGCTTTATTATAGATTTTCAGTTTAGATAACTTCAAAACTTTTTTTTCTTGTATAGCAAATAATATATCTCATCAAAAGGTACAGTCTGGAAAGAACTAATTTGCTCTTAAAATTATCTGAAACTAAATAGTTTTTAGCATTTGCAAGTTTTGCAGTACATGATTTTCTTTGGATGTTCTTAACCTGTGCAGTTTCACTAAGCTTATTTATTTTGTTTACTTAGTCACACAGTAATAAAATACTCTGTCTGAAACAGATAGATTTAAAATCTAAATCCAATTAGCTCACATAAAACCAAGAAAAATAAGTTATTTTTATGAAAAGGAGTCTCATTCATATGAGTCCAAAAATGTTATTAAAGACAAAAGGGAAAAAATGTATGACAATGAAACAAACACAGAACTCAACCAAGTTCTGTACTTTAAAAAATTATAAAACTATCCTGATTGTTTTGAGACCCTTAACTGAATTGTCAGACTTCTGTGCACATAAAATCTCAACTTAAATACTGCATTATCTAAAAACTAAACTGAACTAAAATAAAATCAATAACAAAATTTGCTGAAAACAAAAAATGAAATCAACAAAATCTGTTAATGATGAAATTTTAAACTCATAAAAATACAGTAATTACATTATAGTTCCCACAGCAACAAGAACAAATTGTTAAACTAGAAAATGTGTTTTCTTGTTGTTACATAAAACAGAAAGTATTTGAGTTACTATCTTTTTTTATTTTTATATCACCTTTGGACTGAGAACAATTATAGGAAATTTCAGCCGAAAATATTAAGTTGTTAGTCACTGAGAAGACAGGTTTGAGAATCTTATTCTTTACTATAGTGACTCTATAATTATTTTATTGCAAAATATTATGCAAATTGCAAAGCACATTATGTCCTCTTCAGTAATACCCTTGTCCTTCTTAAACATCCTCATTGCCTACAGGGGTTCTCATTATACTGATATCACTGTGTAATTAGTTTGGCAAACAACATATAGCCTGAAATCTTTCTACTTTGAACACGACTGTGTGTTCTATGTTTGTTGCTTTTGCAAGGAAAGAAACAGACAAACATTAAAGAAATTCTTTTATTAAATGTTTATGAAATGAGGCCAGATTGTCAAAATAGCTCAGCACCCAACCGCTGTAATTTAAGCACCTAAAAAAAGTGACATGATTTTTCAAAAGAGCACAGCTCCCATTTAGGAATCCAGTGTGGTGTCCAGAGGTGAGCCCAGCTGTCTCTTCTCCTGACTCCCTCCAGAGTTAGGGAAGCTCCTGTTTCATGTTTTGCTCTCACAGAGGGTTGGGGAATAAGCCACTGGTGCTATGTGTTATCTCTGGGGATGGTTGTGGAGTTATGTTCTCTCATTTCCTACCCCTTCTTTGCACAACTGTTGTGGGAGCTTTTGTTCTATGTGGTTGCATAAGGGATTTAAAGCAGAAGAGGCTTTATGAGGAAGGTGTTGCTAGCATAAGAGACGGCAAAGAAGAAGGCACAAAAACACTTGCAGGAGAAGTGGAGAAATGGATAGCACCACCAGCAAACCAGAATCAGGGAGAGAAGCTATTGAACATATAAGAGTAGATAAATAGAGAGGGGCAGGGCTAGGGAGGATGTCTAAGGACAAGAAGCATGAATTTAATTTAAGTTCTGAGCACTCACAGCTGCCAAATCAATTAGAGCTGTGCTTTGAAAATACTGAAGTGCTTTAAAATACTAAGTACTCTGAAAAATCAGGCCAAAAGTGAGCACCTAACATTAGTAGACAATTTTGGTGTTAATCTCTGTGCCTCAGTTCCCCAATTGTAAAGGGAGGATAATAATACCATCTGTTCTCACAGGGGTGTTGTGCATTAGTGTTTCTCTCTCATTAGTGTTTGGGAAGCACTCAGATGCCATGATGTCAGCATCACAGAAATGTCCAGGAGGAAATTAATAATTTTGTATTCAGTGCAGTTTCGGATGGTAGTTAATAAGATCTAGGGACACACATCGAATGAAGAAGATAAAAAGAAATATTGAATAATTCCCTATTCATAAATGAGTCAGGAATCCTGTGGGAAAAAATAGGACGTGATCATGTCATTAAAGACTGTATCATAATGCATACACACAAGGAGGTTGAATTAAAATTGCATGGGTAACCTTATTTTCAGCATTTCCTAACTTTGAAGGGCTTAACTTCGCAACCTGAACATTCTTTTAATGTAGCATTTTTGGATGTAATATACATAGAGGAAAAAAGAGGAGAGAAAGAGAGACAGACAGATCTTTTGGTGCTGTGCAGTCAATTCACACTGCACTGCCTCCATAATCTTGCTGTAAAATAAGAACACAAGAACATAAGAATGGCCATACTGGGTCAGACCAAAGGGCCATCTAATCCAGTATCCTGTCTTCTGACACTGGCCAACCCCAGGTGCCCCAGAGGGAATGAACAGAACAGCTAATCATCAAGTGATCCATCCCTTGTCGCCCATTCTCAGCTTCTGGCAAGCAGAGGCCAGGCACACCATTCCTGCCCATCCTGGCTAATAGCCATTGATGGATCTATCCTCCATGAATTTATCTAGTTCTTCAACAATCTGAAGAAAGATCACCCCAGAGTAAGGATCACCATCCAGTGGGATAGAGCTAATGCAGGGCTCTTATGTCACACACTCTGCCTGTTGCTGGTGCAGCAGGGAAAAAGGGGATGTGGCATTTTTGTTCCCCCGTGACCATTATGGCCTGCAACAGAAACAGTGGAGTGCAAATGTGAGCTTTAAATCTTAATTTGGCCCAAGATTAATTACCTCCCAGTGCTCAAAGGCAATTACTGCATGTAAAAAATACTGATGCAATAAAAATAATATAATACCCATATAATGTTTATATGACTGATTTCCCAGTAAGGCAATCTTAATTTTTGTCTTGGGTTCTAGCCTTAAGGATAATCCCCTTAATCTTCCCTTTACCCCCTCCCCCCCACTGCTCTCAAAGCCCCTCCTTTTGGACTCAAAGATTAAGACAGAACTAATTTCAGAGCCAGAAAATTCTGCTTTAAATCAACCAGAGGAATCATCAGTGTGTGACACAAGGCATTTGATCCCTGTAAAGGATGAACATAACATACTAATTTAACAGCACTCCCTATTCCTCTCAGCTGAAGAAATGGGTGACTGGGCCTACAAATTAGAACAATACATATCTCTATTATTCAGGAACCAGGCTCACCCAGAATCCTATATTTTTTAATGCTTTCAACCTTAATTATGTATAAATCTCCAGAGAAAATGCGACTTTCATGAGTAAACTGGCGGTTGCCCAGTTTTGCTAACTTGCTTTATATTACTGTTACCCCAGCAACATAGCTTGTGAATCATTTATTAACCATTGTCAGAAACATATTTTCAAATCAAGCCAAGGCAATCACTCTCCTTTTCATTTACTAAGGCAGTTCACTGAAATATCAAATCAAGAGATGGGAAAATCCCCATGTCACAAGTGCTAAAGAAAACAGAGGACCAAATTCAGCAGTGATGTCAAAAGTAGTGTGAGGTACTTGAGAATAAAGTCAAGTTCATCTATTTGATGTTCCCTGGGAACTGCCATTCTTTCTATCTCTATCCCTTCCCTACCTACATGGGATAAGTAGGTGCCTCACCCACATTCTTCATTCATGCTCTTCCACTTTAACCCCCTCATTGTGACCTGCTGCTGGCTGACCTTGCTTGGGTAAGTCACTTCACCTCTCTGTGCTTCAGTTTCCCCATCTGAAATATGGGGAGAATGATACTGACCTCCTTTGTAAAGCCTCCTTTGAGATGTCTAGATGAAAAGTGCTGTATAAGAGGTAGGTTATTATTTTAGTTATAGGCAGGGCTGGTAGTAATGCCTCTTATTAAGATTGCCTCATATTTTAGGCCATGTTTTCAGTTGCTTATAACTTTGCCAGACTTTAATCATTTGGGCCAGGTGTCTATGTTAGGTATTATTAATATTGTTATTGTTGTTTTGGA